GCCGTTGCAGCCAATGAAGCCCTTCGAGTGCTCAGAAGGCAGAAGGTACCAATGACGGCTCAACTGCAGACAGCTCACTGGGCGGTACGCTTCTCGCGGTACAGTGATGCTTCGCGAACAATATCGGGAAGCATCAGTGGAGCAAAAACGATAGCTTTTACTTTTCAGTGTACTGTCGCGCCTCGATACTGCTGAATGTGCCTCGTTTTTAGACCAGCTATGCTCAGTGAACGTTCGGCCAAACTGGCACTGGCGTATGGATCAGACATTATGTAGTGCCGTAATTACGTGAGTGCAAGAGCTATAATCGGTTGAGAGATTCTGACTTAGTTTCACCTTATATAGGAACAGCTCGTACTCTTTTCTTGGCATTCTGAGCGCGGTGGTCTTGCTTCTGTTTATTTCCTGGCCCAGCCGACGGAAAGATTAGGGGTCACCCACCAAGCGTTCGCCTAGTGGGTTCCCCTGCTTTTGCATCATTGGCCAGAGTCAGGTTGACTTCTTTTCGTGGGCCGACCTTATTCATCACTTGTGAAGGCTGCCTTTCGCCATGAGCTTCTACACATGATGCAAAATTACGTTTTTAGATGGGTCTTTTCGTGCTTTTATCTGTCATATAAACTCACGTTGTGCCTTTAGTTCACATTATCACTGGTTGATTTTCTTTTGAAGTACTATTTCGTTATCTCGGCTTCCCCGCTCACTGTGAACGGTGGAATGGTCCCCTGAGAAAGCCTAAAACACGAAGCAGATTGGCAACGAGATTTGAGAAGTCACTCGGCTTAAGTTGCTGCCCTCTACATGAATCGCTATTCCAAGCAAAAAATGAATTGTTTTACCCGGGATCTCACCGCATTTGGACAGTAGACTACTTTGCCCCAAATGCGCCTGCATGAGCCGCATCACTGACACCATAAACGCGTCGTCATATGGGATGCTGCGCGCTGTCCATAACACAATATCTTGACCTGTATCTGAGGCTAAGTTAGATCAAGAAGCCAAGCAAACGGTTGCTATTAATCCCAACAATATATCTGTTTTATGTACCTTGTTGTAAGCAGCCAGTAAAACAACCTCATTTGCTATCAGGTCTCTTTTTTGCTATCTGAGTAGTCAGCAAATTAGGATTGAAATGGTGCAGCGAGAATGGCTTACAGATTGAACTGTCCTCTCATGAGCCTATGCCACGCGCTAGAAGTTATAGACAAGCCGCGGTCATAAGTGGTCATGTATGCGCATCACCAGGACACAAAACTAGTAGCCGCGTTTAGCGTTTGACTACCGGGCGTCATATTGATGTGGCCTAAAATATCCTGAGGTTTGAAATATCCTCCCACGGCGCCATCAGATAGATTGTAAGTCATCGACAACAGCAAACTCTTAATGCGGCACCAGCAAACATAAAACATCAGTAACTAACTGCTTAGAGGCCTGAACCTGAGATGTGGGGCGGAACTTGGGATGGCCTGCTCTGTGAATCGAGATATCATGATTCAATGCCACATGCCAGACTGTATCATTGAGTTACATACCAGACGAAGCAGTTGTAAACATCTAACAAAGTAAATGAACACAAATCTGATGCTAGCGATCGAGTCTTCAGCGTTTTTTTCATCTGAGCCGGGATGATGCGCTGTTCTTTCTCACAACTGTCTTAACGTCTGCTGATGGTTGCATAAATGTCTTGCTGATTACCCAAGCAAACCGGCAATCTGGAAAGAAAAGCCTGCTGGTTGAGGGCCAGGAGTGTCACTTCTTCACAGCGGTTGGGGGGACTCAGCCGTGAAAGTTGACCTAACATACCCTCAAGGCCTGATTGCTTCCAGATTCCTGTCATTTATATTTGCGTCCTCGATGTCAAGAAGAAAACTAATGACTTACGGCACACTAAGTTGCGTTTATTTGTGAGTTGTGTCCCTTCCCTCCCCCCTCCGTTGTAAAATCCTGCGTGTGCCCCTACGACAAAAAATACATCAGAACCGCAAAGATGTAAAAAGGTGAAACAAACAAGTTTTCTTGGTGTGAAACTCCTGTTTATAGATGGCAGGCTGTGCGCACAGGTGAATGCAGCTGGCCACTTTTTTACTCAAAAGCCGCCGCATATGTAGCTCATTCTTTGTCCCGACACAGATGTTGTGGGGGGGGGGGGGGGTTCTATGGTGGGGTGCGTGCGCTGTGCTGCTACTGAGCCGCCCTCTGGATGTTCATGCGCCGCCGGCTGCCGCTGTCACGCCTCCCCACAACAGCGAATTTATACCGAGTTACCAATTGGTCAGCACACGAGCCAGGTGATGTTAACGCACAATTCAGCACGTTGGGACTCTGGTACAACCGACATCGACACACACTTATGTGAGCCACAGATCCAGGATGGGGTGGGTTACTGGGGCATTGGCAGGGTGGTAGGTCCGGTCAGGCATCATGAACGGCTGTCTCTCTGTTCACACGTGTCCTCGTTTTTTTGGGGGCATGGACCGATAGATTTGCCGTCACACCCCTCCCGCCCAATATGCTACCGGGCCGACGTGCCCTACTTCCTGGGCTCGGCCCGCAACGTGCCCCGGGCCAGATTCTGGGCGCCGCGTCGCCGGCGTCTTCGCAAGGCCGCTCGCTCTCTTCCTGTCTTGCCTCGGGCGGGCCTTGCGCGTGCCCTTCTGGACCAGTTCCCAAGTGGCGTGGCACTCCTAATACCGGCTGGGGTGACAGCGGCGCCGGCGCGGCGAGGTTCTCGACCGAAACAGCGAACATCTTCAAAACGTGGCATGTTGCTTCGCCGGTGATGGGGCGTACCGCATGCATTAATCTTGATCGGCCGGCGGAGGGCAGGCGTTCTCCTTTAAAACGACGGTCCATTTTTGAAGAAAAGGCCGCTGGCATGGCCGGTCCGGAATAAAGTGGCGGATTACCCACCTGGCCGGGCGACACACACTGTTCTCCCCGCGGATCTGGTCAACAACGCGTACCGATCGGCCGGAGCGTCGGCTGCATCTGCATTCACCTCTCGACTTAATGGTTGTGTTTGGTGCGGGGGGGGGGGAGTTCCTGGCCTTGGCCAGCTTGCCCGCTATCCCCTGCGCCGCCGGGAAGCCTCGCAGTCATGGACGGGTGGCGCGCAAAATGGAAGGTATGAAAATGTATGCCTACATTGTCACGTAAAAAATGCTACCAATAATCGCAGACTAACCTAACACATGTTTGGGATGGAATGATAACAACATTTAAGGTACGTGCAGGATACTACTACGTGGCGCAAAAAAATACGGTTGCCTTCAGGAAGACACCTAGTGTACCACCATTCAGTGAAAATTGTTGCATTTTATTGGTCTCGTATTCCTTCTCCCTACGCTCAATGGAGGCCTCAGATGAGCAGAGGGGAAGGGGACGGCCCCAAAAGTATATAAAGTAACAGTGAGGGCGTTAAACAACCCAGAAGTCAACTGATCTCTACGATTTGTGTCGGAAGTGGCCGAATACGGGCATGGTTATATTATATTTTGTCTCATGTTTTTCCTGTTGGCTGGTGCGGCATCAACATGGTTCATCGTCAAGGGTACTGGTGAGCTATTCCGGGGAAATTTGCTCTGGTATTGTCCATGTTAAACAAGATACCTCGGGCAGCGGTAACATAATCAATTTGCAGATATCTCGACAGCTTCACAGTAGCACGGCATTCAAACGCAATACGATCTAATGGCTAGCATTCCTCAATTTCCAGAGAATGCGATCCCATCCTATTCGTTGTGTAATTGTGCGTTCAATAATGAACTTGGTCTGAGATCCGCGAGCCGCAGTAAACAAGATTCGAATGCCTGCACGGATCGTAAGAACGGCATCCTCATAAATGTTACGGTGTAATCAATGAGCGGGTCTCGCTCCTGAATGTCGGCACGACGGTGCATTTTTAACCGCGGAAAATTAATCGCCGCTGCACTATTCAGCCCTCCAATCTCGTAAATGTTACCAAAAATCGATTGCCGAAAATCCAGTGCCCTGCAGCAGGCAGTGGCACTGTGCTGGCGCTGGTGGCGCCACTGGGGCGTCCCCGGGTCATCCGCGGAGTGGTACGCGCACGAATGGCCGCGGTCTGGGCCGTCTGCCTCGGCTGCTGGCTGGTGTTACAATGCCCCATCAGTGGTGCAATGCCAAGTCGAGAACAGCTTCGGCCTTTTGGATTCGGAGAAGGTCAAAATCGGTAAGTAGACCACCACAAACCGTGGTTTGAAATGCTTGAGACCTTACATGCTAGCGTTTGATGGGTGGATGAAACGCTATAGCGTAAAAAGGAAATATTTAGCATGTTTAGCTTACACATTTGAGATCAGCACAATTTGTGAATTGTTTCTACTTGGCGCACTGGCGTTTTCACGAAAACTGGTCACGTCGTTTGCACAACTAAGCAGGCCTGAGAGTTATGATCATTCCTGTCGCGCACTCTACAATCACATAATCATAATCAACGAATAAACAAGTTCATGTTTGTGAGCAATTGTATTTTGACTGCGCTTATTGTTGGTGACAAGGCTTCGCTGCAGGGTCAACCCGCTCCATTGTGAGTGAAGCAGGTCGTAGTGAGGCGGGACGTTTCTGATCCCGTTTTGTGGCCAGGTTGTTCAGGGGGTTTTGTTTGTGGCAGAGGGACATGAGATACATACATTTTCAGTTGTCCTGTAATAAACTTTGCTTTATTGTGGATCTTGGGGCCAATAAGTGACTACTGTCTGAGCATTGCGGTTTCATGCATGCTTCACCCCTCCTCGCGAAACGCTGTTCTCTATGTAACATGTCAACTAAAACCAGCCAACGTTGCCGATTTGACCACCTTCCGCATTGCAGGGAACTGATATGGCCAATCAACCGGCTCTCTTTGAGGGCTCCCCTGGTCTCTTTGAAGCCGGGGTTTTGTGTTTCCAAAATAAATCAGGGACCTATTTCATTTGGAATCCTCCGGCTGGCTGGAATTCTTCTAGATATGTCTTGGCTCTCTACTTATCTTGGAAAGCATGGGCTCTGGCCGCAACAATGTATTCCTCGCCCTTCCAGGCCCCAAGCCATGCCGTGAGTGGAGGGGATGGCACATGACTGCTCCCTGATGTCACCCTCCCTGAATTCGAGCGATTCCTATACCATGCTATGATGCGATATTTATTCGTTGCCATCCTCTCCTTCTTCGATCCTGGGCTGTTTTTTGACGAGGGATGTCGGTGTGGGATTGTTACCTCACAACACCCTCTTTCTTCTTGTCCCGCGATTTATCCTTTGACCAGGAGTGATGTTGTGACATTGCTGCCAGAACATCAATGTGTTAGTCAGATTCGTACCGCGTTTCTGACTAATGTATAGTCAAACACACAATTTAAGTACAACCAACGCAATTTGTCATATGATATATATATATATATATATATATATATATATATATATATTGAAGCACTTAAAGGTTTTAGTTGACAACTCACATCGTGCCATGGCGGGTGTATCGGACTCGCAGCGTCTGCTATCATGCGCGCCTTGGGTTTCTACCGGGGAACTGTTCGATATCGTATGCACATGGTGGTGTTCACATTCCAGTTCTAGAAGACAAATATTCAATATACCTTCCTGCAATTGACCAGCCGATTCACTTTTACGCCTGCTTGATGTCAATTCCAAACCTAACCAACTCTGCGCCCAGACGAGGGCTTTGTTGTTTATTTGCGCAGACATGTGACATCAGGAACAAAACGGTTGAAGTGTTATCGACTTCAAAGGTACGTTATCCTCTCTGACTTTATTGACCGGATATAAAACATGTACTCTTTATTTGCATCACTTGTGTTCTTCACCTATTGTTTTTTTTCAGTTTTGAGCTTTTCGTCTTTCTTACTGGCTTTTCCCGCAAGCCGTTGCCATGCCTTCATAGATAAACCCGGGGATCACGGTTGCAGCTGTCCAAAATCGTGGGCTGAGCACAACTGTTGGCATGCCAAAGGGCATTTATTTTTATTAGAAACTGGCAAAAATGTAAAACAAAGCCAAACAGTACTGAACAATGGTAAATTGACAACAAAGAGGGTTATTTCGGAACTGAAACTCGGCAACGCAATTTTTGGTTGCGCTATCACGAATTTCGATGCCTGCAGAATACAGCCCTTGCGACCCTCTGACTACGTCTTTGCATGACACTCTCCCCTCTCCTGGCGCTGAGCTGCCCAATGACAAGAGCTGATGTGATGCCATTTTTTATTCCATGACACCCTTTTTCGTTACCCGAAGCAAGCCGCCGTTCGGGGATGATAATGTGAGATTACTTCCCAGTAACACACTTCCCTCATCTGACCTCGCTCCATGACGTGGCTAGGGGCGATGCCGTATGATGACTCTATTATGCTACCTCCCCCTCCCCCCCTCGCCGCCGCCTTACCAACGGTGACGGTATTGGGCTGTTTCCAGCGACGCCCTCCCCTTTGTGACCTTGGCCTCGTGTCTTCAACAGGGGTGCTTGTACTGGACGATGCCGTGCTGCCGGACCTGGACCTGCTGGCGTCGCTGGAGGACGTGATCGAGCAGCAGGCGCCGCCACTGCAGTTCACAGACGTGGAGCTCGTCCCTCTGGAGTCCGGGCAGCAGGACGGATATCAGCTAACGCCAGGTCTGACGTCCGAGGCGCACAGCAGGCGCCGCCGTTACAGTTCATAGACGTGGAGCTCGTCCCTCTGGAGTCCGGGCAGCAGGACGGATATCAGCTAACGCCAGGTCTGACGTCCGAGGCGCACAGCAGGCGCCGCCGTTGCAGTTCACAGACGTGGAGCTCGTCCCTCTGGAGTCTGGGCAGCAGGACGGATATCAGCTAACGCCAGGTCTGACGTCCGAGGCGCACAGCAGGCGCCGCCGTTGCAGTTCACAGACGTGGAGCTCGTCCCTCTGGAGTCTGGGCAGCAGCAGGCCGCTCATTACAGCGCACTGTAATCTAGACGCTCGTACATCATCGACAGTCCTTGGTGTGTTTAGTTTCACTTCAATATGACTTAAGAGCTGCAGAGTTAAAGACATGCCCATGTGGGAAGCCCACATGTAAGGCGCCAAGCCCAGAGCATTCCGGTCCGCCATCTTGGTTTTACGTCGTCAAGCATATCAAAGCTAGCTTTCGGAGTTCAGAGCTCACAAAAAACAAGACAGCAAATCTGGATCTCTCGGTCTCAATCGATAACAGACTAAGTGAACAACTGCCGACGAAGACAGAATTCTGACAAATACCTGTTAGTCATTACCGAAAATCCCAACAGCTTATGGTAGATGGTGGTCATATCCATCCGCTAAATGCGCGATATCACTACAAGGTTAAATATGGAATATATTCTCTTAAACAAAGGGTCGCATGGGCCCATCGTGGAACAGGATACTCGCGTGTAACAAGTGCATGCAATGAAAAACATAAAATCACACACGCACACAAGCACACTTGAGTCAAGCACACAAGTCTAAGCTATGCCTCCACGTGCTTCCTGTGAACCATACATTTGACTGGATCATTGCTGTAACCTGGAGTAGCACGTTTGGATGCAAGAGAGGCCGGTGTCTTTCTCGCGCAAGCCAGGTTGACTCTCCAGGCTCAGCAGCTCCTAGACCGCCTGTGTGACTGCAGGGAAGCATGCTGGCCTTTTACTCAGTGGCACTGAGTACAAGCTCCGGAGTGGGCACACTGTTTGACCCGACTGTTCTGCCAAGGCAATCGGCAACTGGCCAACGAGGGTCATCACGGACCAAGCACGGCCGCCCGCAGCATTGTGCGGTGCATTGCACCCTTCTGTCCTGTCTGGCGGGAGGGCAGATACAGATAGGTCTTAAAAGTGGATGGCACAGCTTGGGTGGTCGCTCTGGGACATACGCAACGAGCTTTGCTTAATAAGTGCTCTGAACCGAGAGCAACGCATTCAAACCGTTCGAAAACAAAACATTTTGGAACAGTCCAAACCATGAAAAAAGGAAACAACCCAACCCAACAAACAACCAGCAGACAATAATAAGCTTTTTGGACTCCCCAAGCGCTGTCTGAACGCAACGCTGAACGTCCTCAAATATTCGCAGTTTTTCACTGACTCAACGGCTGGAAATATTTGTAACGTTGAGAATAACCACCACACCTTGGCAGTTTTGCAAGTTGGCATTTAACACAAAGATCATTTGACGCCCGGAAAATGGTTTAAACATGTCGCGAGAGCATTGCACATATGTGTGGGAGAGGACGATGGAAGCCTGAAAAATAGTGCATTATACGCCTTTGTGTTGACTAATATATAAGATGTTCTCCTTTACGGATATTTACAGGTCTGGCTCTGCCGCTTACGCAACTTACAAGCTCAACTAAAAATGAAAACATTCGTGTATAGGCGGGATTGCGAGTGCCCATTTGAAACTTAACAATTCGATCTTCTGAATGGGCCGCTGTACCCCTCCCCCCCATGTCTGATTTAGTCTCCCAACGGTAAGTTTGGCCCAAAATCTTCTAGAACTGAGGTGCTAGTAGGACATTTAAATGGGAACTGTGATGCCGTATTAAATTAAATGGTGCCGACTTAGTCAGTAAAACTTTTATATCACCAGGCGCGGACCACATTTACTTGAACAATTTCTGGTTTCACTGACTTGGCATTTGCCGAAAAAGCTGAAATATACAAATTGTAGGCATTATCATTGTCTGCTTCCACAAGGTTGAACAATGGCAAATGATCCACAAAAGAGTTATGAGTGGCCAATCTGTTTAAAGGTTGACGTCTTTGACCTAATCTGGGTCATTCATCTTCAAAGATCAAAGCTTAAAATTTGCATAAAGGATGCCAAATCGGAACATGAATGGGTACTGAAAATTGTGTGCGGCTACAATCGTTCGTTTGTGACCTGTGCTCGAAGAACCTTAGAAATAAAAGAAAACCGTAGGCCTCCGGCCGGCCGCGGGTTAAGACGCGCTCGGGGGGGGGTCAATTTGACGCCCCTCCCCCCCCGAAGGTTTTTGTGGGGTGATTTTCGACCAGCACGGTGTAGCTACGCCAAACTACGCATAGCTTTAGACAGTTGAATATTGGATTGTTTGGTGTCAAAAATATAGTTGTTCCTTGTAAGGTTGCTGGCCTATTGCAAGTCAAAATCAGGCCGTAGTTTCAACTAAGATAATTTCAAGGGACTCACATAAGTTTTTAGTGCACTAGTGTGGAAACATTATTCACATAGATAAGAAATAGCAATAGCCTTACTCCTCGGAGAAAAACCAGGAGAATGAAGATATAGTTGGGCTGATATTTCGGCAACATGTCTTTATTGAAACATTAGCAGAAGTTTCTTCTGCTAATGTTTGGATAAAGGCTTCTGAATGTGTGAATAATACTCCTCGCTAATGTACTGAACAACTTTCAAGGAATAACTTAAATGGAAAAGGTGGAATTTCACAACCGGCCTAAACTGCTGGGAAGCCAAGTAAGGAGTCAAGAAAAAAGTAATGAACTGTCTGACAAAGCAGATAGCCGAAATGGTTATCATATTTAACGATAGCAGGCAGAAAAGGAGGATAAATAGTTGATGGCCAGGACGCAGGACTGAAAGACGTTCAGTTTGTTGTGCAACGGATTGACGACGGTCTCGTCTTCCTGAAACTTCAGCACGGAAATTGTGAGGGCCAAACAAGAACCAGATATGGACTGGGAGCTTCATGCGGAACCGCCATGGTACCTGCTGCAAGTAAGCTAGATGCTGAAAGGAAGGCAAGACATGCAAGGACGAATTTAGGTAATGCAAGTACACTAAAGTGCGGCAAGGAACCGTACGCTGCAAGAAAACTGGAAGTGACCTCCACCGTGGAACCCGAATCAAACTAAAGATAAGGTATAAAACACGAGGGAAACACAAGAATATGGGAAAAGGAAAGAAATGGAAGCCAAGTTGCTAAAAAAGGAGACCTAAGCGGTTAACTAACTCGAGGCACTTATGGGGAAGAAAACAACAAAATGCATGCACTAAATGTGAAAAGGGTTTGTGCAGGCGAAAAGGTGGCAGACGCTGTAGGGAATGCAGATGGCGGTGTTGCAACGACCGAAGTGGAAGGGGAGAAAAAGAAGCCGAAGGCACGAAAGTGTAGAGCAACTCTGATCGATGGAAGAAACGTGAGCCAGATCAAAGCAGCGGCCATGGAAAAGTTTATTTTTGACCGGAATGTATCTTTTATTATGACGAGTGATGAACTTGATGAGAGTTCGAAGAGCGCGATCACAAGAGATAAAGCAAAGGAAATGGACGTCGTGGTTCATATTGGGGTCCACGACGTACTGAACCACAGCGCAGAAAATGTTTTGGGGAGCATTACCAGCACAGTCAATCATGCACAGTCTTTGAAAAATATAAAACGAGTCTTCATTTGCTCGCTTAAAGAAAGACGGGACGCTGGCATTATGGCTTACGAAACAGCAAAAACCGTTTATATTGAACAGAGCAGGCTGTGTGCCACCTATGGGGTAGGATTCATAGATCTGCGACCAAGAATGATGTCCCGCTTTTTTGGAGGCCTCAACAAGGCAGGTATCTTGTACACTTTTGACGGCTTGAGAAGCGTATCGTAGCATATCATCAGCCATGTGCTCGTTTTTTAGATTACATTTTAAGTTGACCTCTGGTTCCGATGAGGTAAGTTGTTCAGTGCATTAGCGAGGGACGTTATTCATATTAAGACAGTAGTATTAGCATTATTCCTCGGAGAAAAACCAGGAGAACAGAGATATAGGTGGGTTGATATTTCAGCAAAATGCCTTTATCGAAACAGTAGCAGATGTCTGTCATTTCTGGTATTTTTTTGATAAGGGCAAGTTGTCGAAATATCAACCCAACTCTATCTCCATTCTCCTGGTTTTTCTCCGGGGAATAAGGCTAATACTACTGTCTGTCTGGTTGCGATCAATTTCATAAGAACAAATCACTTGACGCGAAGCCTTCCAGAAATCCAAGTTTTCTGATAGCCAACGTGAATGGACTTTGAACAGCCGCTAAACAAGTTGAACTTGACATAATGTTGCATAAGTAAACGATAGATGAAAAAATAATCACAAAAACCCATTCAGGCAAGACCGTCTATGATTGCTAAATTTTCCAAGCCGGATATGAAGCATTACGACAGGACGGAAACTTATTGGTCGTCAACAAAAGTAAGGGAAGAGGAGTCCCATATACACAAAAAGTAACTTTGCCATACACAGAGCCCAAAATTGAAGTCCCGGACGACTTGCAGTTAGCTGGAGCATTATTCGACCTTTTGCAACTCACCGGCATCATAAAAGCTACAGTTGACCTACCTCCTGATGCATCAGTCTGCCGCCGACAAATGCTGTATGACCACTTTGTGGAAACACTTGAGCATCTTCGATCTTCAAAGCCAAAAGCAAAACCTGTCTTGATAGGAGATTTCAACCAAACATTTGGTGCAGGTTGTTAGCCCTTCAACTGGGTCAACAAGCTGTTACTCGATTAGTACTGCTGCTTCTAAATGCTTATGACGAGTATTCCACTGAAATCAAATACAAATTCAAGACAAGTGCGCCGCGGTGGATAGCAAAGTGCCTCAAAGAACTGAATGACAAGCGCAATAGGGCGCACAGTCGTTATGAAATTGAC